AGGCTCTGCGTGAGGACCTAGGTGAGTACCGCCAGCTCAACCCTCACCTAACCTTGCTTCAATATATAGATGACCTTCTTATTACAGCAGAATCTAAAGAGACTTATATAGAAGGAACAAAACAATTATTGATAACGACTGCTGACTTGGGGTATCAAGCATCAGCCCAGAAAGCTCAAATCTGCCAACGAGAGGTAAGCTACTTGAGATATAAATTAAGGGATGGCCAGAGATGGCTATCAGAAGCTAGAAAGGAGACAGTACTGAAAATTCCAACTCCTGACTCCCCTCGTAAGGTAAGGGAGTTCTTAGGTTCAGCAGGCTTCTGTCGTCTATGGATACCAGGATTTGCAGAACTGGCTAAACCTCTATATGCTGTGTCCCATGATCAACACACTTTGCAATGGACAGAGACTTTACAGGAGTCCTCTGAAAAAATCAAAAATGCTTTATTAAGTGCCTCTGCGCTAGGACTCCCAGACATAACCAAACCTTTTCAACTATATATAGATGAAAATAAGGGGGTAGCCAAAGGGGTCCTAACTCAATATTTGGGTCCCTGGCGAAGACCTGTGACATATCTATCAAAGAAATTAGATTCTGTAGCAGCTGGATGGCCACCCTGCTTGTGCATGATTGCTGCCACGGCCCAATTAGTCAAAGATGCCAACAAAATAACCTTAGGACAACAAATAAATGTGATAACTCCTCATGCCATAGAGGGAGTAATTAAGCAGCCCCCAGAGAGATGGCTTACCAATGCTAGAGTGACTCATCATCAAGGACTTCTTCTCAACCCAGCTCGAGTCATTTTCCTGTCGCCAGCTGTTTTGAACCCAGCCACCCTGCTACCTGAACCTGACGTGGACGCCCCGCTGCATGACTGCAAGGACATTCTGGCCCAGGTGCATGGCCTCAGAGAGGACTTACGAGACCACCCATGGCCAGATGCCACCTTGACTCGGTACACAGATACAAGTAGCTTCATGCGAGGAGGTCACAGGTATGCAGGGGCGGCTAGCTATAGTGTCAGAAACGGAGGTAATTTGGTCTGAATCGTTGCCTCCAGGGACTTCAGCACAGAAGGCTGAACTCATTGCCTTAACCAAAGCAATGATTTTGGGCAAAGGAAAAAAATTAAATGTGTATACAGATAATAGATATGCCTTTGCTACGGCTCATGTGCATGGGGCAATCTACTGAGAAAGAGGGCTACTTAGGGCAGAGGGAAAAACAATAAAAAATAAAAAAGAGATATTGGCCCTATTAAAGGCCCTTTGGCTACCAAAGAGACTGGCCATAATGCAATGTCCAGGACACCAAGGGGACAATTCGCCTATAGCCAGAGACAATAGGCTGGCCGATAAAGCTGCCAAGAAAGCAGCACTGCAAAGCCCTCAAGAGATTTTAACTTTGAAATTACCTGACCCAGGGACAATAGCTCCTCCAGACCAGACAACTTATTCAAAATCAGATCTGGAATGGATTCAACAAAAACCCAACGCTCAATTGATAGACGGACGGTAGAAAATAGAAGGGGAAATTGTCCTCCTACCTGAAAAACTAGGAGATCAACTGCTTTCGACCCTACATCGAACAACTCATTTGGGAGAAAAAAATTGCATGAGCTGTTTAGGCGCTCTTGTCTCAAGATGAATAACATCTGTACAAAGATTGCTGACATCACTTCAAATTATAAAGTATGCAAATTGGTTAACGGGACCAAGACCCAGACTGGACCTGGCTATAGACAAAGAGGAACAAAGCCAGGAGCCTATTGGGAAATGGACTTTACCGAAATTAAACCAAGAAAGTATGGTTATAGATATCTCTCAGTGTCTGTAGACACTTTTTCAGGATGGGTAGAGGCCTTCCCAACCAAACAGGAAAATTCTAAGGTGGTAGCCAAGAAGCTGTTAGAAGAGATCTTACCAAGGTATGGGTTTCCTGTGATGCTGGGATCGGACAATGGGCCTGCTTTTATTTCCAAGGTAAGCCAAGACTTGACCCAGATATTGGGGGCTAATTGAAAATTGCATTGTGCTTATTGCCCCCAAAGTTCAGGACAGATAAAAAGGATGAAGAGAACTCTAAAAGAGACCCTGACTAAATTAACCATGGAGACTGGCGGAGACTGGGTGCTTCTCCTCCCCCCTTTGCCTTATATAGGGTGCGTAAGTCACCCTACAGATTGGGAGTAACTCCCTTTGAAATAATGTTTGGAATCCCTCCCCCTATTGTTCCGAACCTAAAAACTAAATTGCTGAGTTTCATGATAATGATTTGTTGCAATCTTTGTCCAGTCTTCAACAGGTGCATAAAGAATTATGGCCCAAACTGCAGGCCACATATCCACAAGGGCCAATAACGTCCCCCCATATTTTTAGCCCAGGAGACACCGTACTGGTGAAGCATCATCAGTCCGGAACTCTAAAACCCAGATGGAAGGGACCTTATGTTGTTTTATTATCTACCCCCACTGCAGTAGTTAAAGTGGATGGCATAACTACCTGGATTCATCACTGCCATGTGAAAAAAAGCCATCAGAGCAACCTTCATCAACACCCAGAGACCATTAAAAGATATCCAAAGATTCACACAATCCACTAAAGCTAAGACTAAATAGAATTAAATAATTCATGACGTGAGATATTGTAAAGTGTTCACTATCACTTCCCTGTCCAATGTGTTAAGCTTCCTCCTAACAGTTCTCAGTGGAATGCTTCTAGGAATAGGTTTAGCTTCTGCAGCACCCCCAGACTTCACATTAAATAATAGGATTGGATTAATGCTAAGTTACTATTTGATTATAAGTGTGTTTGCCATTTTCTTCTGCTTAACTTAGGTTGAGATCCATATTTCCTATAGGTAAGAATTATTTAGCTTTTGTTTAAAAAGTTTGTTAGGATGGAAAAAATTAGGTTTACATTTCTGATTGTTATGCTTTACTTCGCCACAATACGCATATTTGAAAAGCTGAATCCCCACCAGCCTATAAAGGTCACTTGAATGATAATAAATCCCTTGACTGGAAGAATAGTTGAGTTCGATTTCCAAATGGAATCCTCCAAACATTTGGTGGCCATCTCTTACATTTGACCTATGTGATATGACATTAGGGCATACATGGGATGTAACAAACTGGGAATATAATACAGGAGGCATAGCGCAATGCAGAGGGCGCTGTCACTGAGATTATAATGAAGGACCTGGATGTGCTCATATGTATTCCAGATCTAAACTTTTAGATCAGCCCATATATGTTTGCCCAAAACATGCAAGAGACAAGATAAAATGTGGAGAACAAAATGATTTTTTCTGTAAAGCATGGGTGTGAGTCCTCCAGTACCATACCAGGATACTCATCCAGCATAAAAACAGATTTTATATCAGTTACCCGGAAACCTCAGACAATCAATAAAATAATATCCAATTATAATCCACATTTTTACCATTATTCACAATGTGCTAAGTTCCAATGCAATCCCATATTAATAACCTTTACAGACTTAGAAAAACAAATATCCCCAAAATCCTTAGAAGAATGGAAAATAGGAAGACAATGGGAATTAAGGATATATACAAATGGTTATGATCAGGGGATTTTATTTGGTATTTGCCAAACCCTGGAGATTGACATGCCACCCACTCTTCAACCAACCCCTAAGCTGGCGCCAACCCCCGAGCCTGTTCGCCAATTAAAGACTACTTCTAAATCTATCCTTAAAATGGCCTCCACGTCTAGCCCAATTGAAAATGGAAAACTCCTGCGATCACCCGGCGGCAGGCGCGTGAGCTCCCGGCCTGCGCGGGAGCTCCCGGCCTGCGCGACAACAGACCCAGGAAGGACCACCTACTTCTAAATCTATCCTTAAAATGGCCTCCACGTCTAGCCCAATTGAAAATGGAAAACTATTCCAAACCTCCCAAGCTACTAAACTCTCTGATCCCCTATTTAAAATCATGGAACAAGCCTTCTCAGTGCTTAATGCTACTAGGCCTGAAATCACTAAAAATTGTTGGTTATGCTATGATATAAAACCCCCTTATTAGGAGGGAATTGGGTCACATGCCAACTTCATCTTATCTCCTAATTATACTAGCTGCAGATGGGGAAAAGGGAAAATAGGACAAATTACCCTTACATCTATTCAAGGCTCTGGTACCTGCACAGACATGGTTCCTAAATCATATGAATATCTCTGTAATAAGACTTATCCAGTCAATGCCACTGCCTATTATGTCCCCTCTAACAATAAATGGTGGGCCTGCTCTTCTGCTTTAACCCCTTGTGTGAATGGACAAATACTGGCCCAATCTGGTGACTATTGTGTATTAATTGATTTACTGCCTCGAATCCTTTAAGAAAAATTAAAAGGGACCCAATAACAGCTATAACCCTAGCGGTGTTATTAGGGATGGGTGTTACAGGAGCCGGTACTGGGGCGGCCACTCTTACTACACAACATCAACAATATGCTGGCTTGCGAATAGCAATCAACCAGGATAGAGAGAGGATAGAACTGTCAATCACTAAATTATAAGAATCTTTGAGTTCTTTGACAGAAGTAACCCTTCAGATCAAGAGGGGAGTGGATTTAATATTCCAACGACAAGGAGGAATGTGTGCTGCTTTAGGAGAAGAATGTTGTTACTATACTGATCGCTCTAAAATTCTAAGAGATTCTATGGCCAAAATTAGAGAGGGCCTAAAAAAACGGAAAAAGGAAAGGGCCCGATCTCAAGGACGGTATGAAAGTTGGTTTACCTCATCTCCATGGCTCACATCATTACTATCAGCTTTGGCTGGCCCTTTAATTCTAGTTTTGATCTTGCTAATAATAGGACCCTGTATAATTAACAGACTAATTGCTTTTGTCCAACAGAGAATAAGTGCCGTCCAACTCATGGTACTCCGTCAGCAATATCAATTCATCCCTGCTGAAGACAGAGACACTGATACTGAATCTTCACTATAAAACATTTCTCCTCCTTTCCAGGACACCCAGAAAATCTCGAAAATGGCCAGAAGAGACATACAGAATCTACGATCCTTTTTCCTTGGGGGTCCAGTCCTTCTTCAAAGACATCGGAAAACAATGGATTGACCCAGAAACTACATGCTGCCTGAGGAGCTTCTATCCCCAGAGATCTTGCTTATACTGTGCCACAACCCAGACCTTCTTCACAGGAACAGAGACAATCAGGCAGGGTGACACAGCTTTAGTTTCAGGCTACTGTGCCACCCATAGAACAGCATACAGTTGGTGCCGTCGTCCTGATTAGACGCTTAGTGGGATCCACCTCAACTGGTTCCCCGTACATTCCTTGGGATGTTTCTTGATCCACTTGTTTTGCCACACTCCCACAGTGCCCCGACCTGGATTTGGTCCTCCGGACTACAGTCTCTCCCGCTGGCTATACTGGATTGCGACATTTTTAGAATCATTAGAGCCCTCATATCATTTGAGACCTGAAGTTTGATGGCTATATACACCCAGATTAAAGGTTGCTAAGTTTAGGCTGTTAACAAATCCACAACCAGCTTATAAATGTACTCCTAATGTTTATGTTCCTCTCACTAGCCCGGGGTCATTACAGGATTTGGCCATTAAAGTAGTATTACAACCTACTAGGGAAACAATAAAATTAGAACTACTGGCTCAAGACTACCATCATTGACATAAAAAATGCCAAACCCGACCAAACACCTATGCCCATAACTTTAAAAATAATGTTTCTTTCTAGGATCCTCATCGTCCCAGTTCAGCAGGAAGCATTTCTTGAGGACGCAGCCCCTAATCCCCAAGATTGGACATTAACAGTTGCTTGAGAAGGGGGAAATGAGGAGCCAGAGTTTCTCTTATCTTTACTAAGGCCAAAGTCCTTCCATTTTAACTAATTTAGAATAAACTTCAGTAACACCACTCTTCCCCTCCTTAACCATTATTTAGATTGTTCCATCAGATAAATGGGAAATAGATGAATAAAACCCATTCCCCTCCGCAGAAGACATGGTCTGCTAGAACAAAGAAGCAGGATGTTCTGCTAAGATAAGAACGGGCTGTAGTGATCAGTTGAATAAGGCAAATTCCATTCCACAGACCTCATCTGCACACATACTAACCAATAAGTTTAAAGTATAATTATATATGTGCACCAATAGAATGTTAAGAGATATAGACCAACAGAAATAGTAGAAATAATGAAGAAAATAGCCAATAAGAAACTTAAGATTTTCAAGCCTCCTTAGCCCTATATAACCCTGTTGTAATCGTGATTCTGGGCTCTTGCTCTCTAGTGGACAAGGGTCCGGGTTCGAACCTATAATAAACCTCTCTTGTGATTGCAGTGGATTCGTTTCTCTGCTGGTCCTTGGGGAAACTGAGATCTGGGTACAACATTCACAACCCTGCAAACACTTGTTACTTTCTTTTTAAAAATATCCATCCTAACTTGGGTGAAAAGCTACCTTACTATAGTTCTGATTGTCATTTCCTGGATGGCTGAGAAAAAGTTTCATTACTGCATTTGAAAACACTGGGGTGTGTGTGGGTGTTTGTGGGTGTGTGTGTTTGCGCGCACGCGCCTGCGCGCCTATGTGTGTGCATCATAGTACCAAGTCCTTGAAAAGCCTAAGCTTTATTAAGTACAGAATTATAGATGTTAAACACTTAAAAACATCCCTGGAAGTTCAGGTTCTGATAATAATTTCATACTTATAATTATGCATTTTGAATGATTATTATACTTTACGTAAGGGACAGAATATTAAAATTTAGCACAGTATTCAAAATTTACAAAAATAAGTGAGTAGGTGAGAAATTTAAGTTCTGTCCCTGCATTGGATGTGATGACAGAAAGCTGGAGTCCAGGATAAAGAAGATCCTGAGAGTAAAAATCTCTGGGAAGAGCCCAACTGAGAGGATGCACAACACGTTGTTTGTTGTTGTTGTTGTTGTTGTTGTTGTTTGTACCAGGGATCGAACTCAGGACCATGTGCTTGCAAGGCTGGCAGCAGAACCACTGAGCTAAATCCCCAGCCCAAATATCACATTTTTAAGGGTTCAAAAATTACTAGACTTCCAGCTAAGAAATGAGTAATCTCAGCTCCAGGAGGAAAATTA